TAGCTGTAATACCTCTCAGCTGTCTCACCTCAAGCAAGTACCTAATCACTCCGTGTCTTCACTTCTTCCCCTGCCAAATGGAGTTGATAAGAATAGTACCTAACATGTAAAGTTGTTTTGAGGATAAAAGAAATGAATGTATATGAAGCATTTCACCCAGTGCCTAGTCCATAGTAAGCCCTCAGTATATGTTGGCTGAATTTGCAATGATGTGGATGGACCTAGAGGGTATTATGTTAAGCAAAATAAGTCAATCAGAGGAAGACAAGTATCATATGATCTCACTGATACGAGGAATTCTTAATCTCAGGAAACAAACTGAGGGTTGCTGGAGTGGTGGGGAGTGGGAGGGATGGGGTGCCTGGGTGACAGACATTGGGGAGGGTATGTGCTATGGTGAGCACTGTGAATTGTGTAAGACTGATGAATCATAGACCTGTGCCTCTGAAACAAATAATACATTATATGTTTAAAAAAAAGAATATAGTAGGAAGGGAAAAATGAAGGGGGGGAAATCAGAGGGGGAGATGAACTGTGAGAAACTATGGAGTCTGAGAAACAAACTGAGGGTTCTAGAGGGGAGGGGGGAGGGGGATGGGTTAGCCTGGTGATGGGTATTAAGGAGGGCACATATCAGCCTAATATAAGTATAATATCAGAATCCTCAAAAGACTAGAGAGAGATAAGGGGATAGAAAAAAATAGAGAGAAATAATGGCTAAAAAATTTCCAAATCTGATGAAAACCATAAATACACAAATCCAAGGACCTCAAAATACTGCACAAGAAATATGAAGAAAAATACATCAAGGTACATGGTAATCGACCAGTGATAATGAGAGTCTTAAAAGCAGACAGAGGGAGGAAAAAAAAAAAAGTGTGTTACAAAAGAACAAAGAAAATTATGACAGAATATTCATCATTGGAAACAATGCAAGTAACAAAACAATGGAGCAATATTTCTTAAATACTAAAAGAGAAAAATACTGTCAATCTTTAATTCTATGTTTAGCAATGATATACTTTAGAAACGAAGGCAAGATTAATACTTTTTCAGACACACAAAAGCTGAAATCATTCATCACCAGAAGATCTGTACTACAAGAAATGTTAATGAAAATCTTTTCTTATGATTTAAATTCCTTTAAAAGATAATTGGCTATTGGGGCACGTGGGTGGCTCAGTCCCTTAAGTGGTTAAGCGTCTGCCTTCAATTCGGGTCATGATCAAGGGATTGAGCCCCTTTATTGGGCTCCTTGCTCAGCAGGGAATCTGCTTCTCCCTCTGCCCCTCCTCCTCCCCTTAGTGCACGTGCACTCTCTCTCTTTCTCTCTCAAATAAGTAAATAACATCTTTAAGAAAATTGGCTATCTTAACAAATAACAATGTATTATGGGGCTTATAACTCATGTGTAGGTAAAATGCATGGCAACAGAAGCAAAAGGCTCTAGGAGAGAAAAAAATGGAAGTCAGGTTCTTAAATCATTCATAAAGTGGTATAATATCAACTGAAGGTAGACTATAATAACTTAAAGGTGCATTCTATAAACCCTAAAACAACCACTATAATAACCAGACAAAGAGTTATAGGTGAGACAACAAAGAAGATAAAATGAAATGATGAAAGTTCCTGGACTGATGCAAAAGGAGGTTTAAAAAAAAGGAGAAAAAGATCAAAAAACAAGTGGGACAAATAAAAAACTAGTAGCAAGATTATGGGACTTAAACTTATTATCACTAATGACATCATATATAAATAATCTATACAACCAAAATAAAAGGTAGAGATTGTCAGGTTGAAAGTAAACCTAACTCTATGGTATGTATAAGAAATGCACTTTAAAATAAAGACATAAAGAGGATGAAAAAAAGTATAGAAAAACAGTAACATGGTAATGCTAACCAAAAGAAAGTTGGATTGGCTCTATCAATAAGTAGATTAAAGAATAAAGGATAGCACAAAAAATAAAGAAGTCCATTTAATAATGATAAAAGCATAAATCTGCCAAGAAAATAATAGAGTTCTTAAACATTTATGTAGCTAATAAACAGAATGTCAAAATACACGAAGCAAAACTGACAGAAATGCAATGGAAAAAAGAAAAATCCCCAATGTAGTAAAAAAATTTCAGTACCTACATCTCATAATCGACATAATAAGTAGATAAATCATAAAAAATACATAAGACTTGAACATTATCAACAATTTGACATATTGACAGTTACAGAATGCATGCCTTGACAACAGCAGAATGCGCATATTTTTCTAAATGTACACTGATCAGTTATCAAAATAGACCACATTCTGAGTCACAAGTGTCACTAAATTTAAACATTTTCAAGTCATAAAAACTATATTCTTTCTCTAAATGGAATATTTTTAGAAATTAGTAACAGAACAATATCAGGAAAATCCCCATATATTTGGAACTCATACACTTCTAACTAACCCATGAATCAAAGAAGACATTTTTAAAAGTTAGAAAGTATTTTAAGCTGAAGGAAAATAAATATACAAGATATCAAAACTTATGTCTCTGAAGCAGTACTTATAGGGAATATATATACCTCAATATATCTATAATATTATCAAAGAGACAATGTCTCAAATCAATGCCTCCAGACTTCAACTTAAGAAACTAAGAAGGACAGGGGTATGTAGGTAGTTCAGTCCATTAATCATTTGATTCTTGATCTCAGGTTGTGAGTTCAAGCCCTGCATTAGGCTCCATGTTGGGCATAGAGCCTACTTAAAAAACAAAAAAGAAAAGAAGAGAGAAAAGAAACTAAGAAGGACAAATCCAACCCAATGTATGCCAAAAAAAAAAAAAAAAGGCAATAAAGATCAGAGCATATATCAGTGAAATAGAACATAGAATAACAATATAGAATCTATGACACAAAAAGCTGCTTCTTTGAGAACATTAATAAATTTTAAATTATTGGCATAAATGTGTCCATAATATCCTCTTGTCATCCTCTTCATAGCTGTGTACTGTGTTCTAATGTCAACTCTCTCATACCTGAGACTGGTACTTTGTGTCTTTTTCTTTCCTGATTAGCACACCTAGAGTTCCCATTTTGATGGGGATGGGAGGGCAGAAAGAGACAAGCAATAAATGAGTAAACTAATCAGTAACAATAACCAATGATAAGAGGTTTGGTGACAGTGAAATGAGGTAATATGATGGGGGCATTACTAGACAGGATTGTCGGAGGAGACCTTTCTGAGGCAGTGATATTTAAAGCAAGATTTGAATAATGTGAAGAGCTGGGGACAGATCCTTCACAGCATAGAGTTCCAGTGACAACAAATCCCGGAGGTGATAATAAACTTGTCTTGTTCCAGGTCCAGCAAAATGATGGCAGGTGCTGGACCTTGAAAGGCAGGGATCAGCAAACTTTGGCTTTCAGGTCAAATCCTTCCCTAGGGTTGTTTTGGTACAGCTTACAGGCTAAGAATGGCTTTTATATTTGTAGAGGGTTGTGTAAACAAAAGAGAAGGAGGAGGAGAAAACGTGACAAAGATCGTATGTGGCCCACAAAGTCCTAAAATATTTACTATATAGTTCTTTACAGAAAAAGTTTACCAGCCCCTAAAGTAGGGCCTTAGTGCTTAGGCTAAAGAATTTATATATCATTTTCTTTTTTTTTTTTTTTAATTTTGTTATCCCCCCCTTTTATTTTTTGCAACAGAGTATTCCCATTGTATGGAGGTATCGCTGTTCATTACCTAGTCAATGGAATTTTGGGTTGTTTCTATTTTGCGGTGATTATTAATAAAACCTTATAAGCTTTGAAATATTTTAAGTGTACAGTGCAATGAATTTTAATAAATGTATACATCCACTTAAGCTCCTGCCTAATTAAGATATAGAGCATTCCCATAACCCCTGTGAGTTCTTTCCTGTCTTTTTTCTGGTCAATCTCTCTAATCATTGTTCGGATTTCCATCGCCTGTCCCTGTCCCAGAAGGAGATATAAATAGAATCACACAGTATGTGAGGAGTTAATATTCTCTTAACCCAAGAAGAATTAGTAAGCAACTGAAGGCTTCTAAGAGGGAAATTGGGACAATCTGATTTATATTTTAAATTATCTTTTTAGCTACTATTCAAAGACTGGTAAGTAGGTGATAGTGTGCCACTTACGCATTCTTTTTCTTCCCATCTTTGGGGGATGGTGGGGGGGAGGGGGGCAGAATATGGCTCAATAAAATTCCTGGGCAGACCAGAATTGACTCGTCAACTTCAAATCCTACGGCAAAGCCGGTTTCAGAGTTCTGATCAGGGCTCGGAAGTGTTCCTGCAGTCCCTGTTCTCCGCAGCAGATGGCCCCAGAGCGCAGTTCCTGACCTGCCTCGCGGAGTCCTCCGCTGTCCTAGGAGCCCCGCGCCGCCCGGCGACTCCGCGCGGCGACTGCTGTGTTTGTGGCGGCTCGCGCCCAGCGGTCCCGGTTTGCGCTAAACTCGGCGGGCAGCGAGGACCCGCCCGGGGTGTTGCGCCCCGCTGCGGCCGCACTCCGGCTGGCCAGCGAGGTGCGCCCGCCTCCGACTCCCCGCAGAGGCTTCTTAGGTTCGGGAGAAGCTGAAGTTCTGCAGGATCCCCGTCCGCCCTGGGACAGTCCAGCCGCGGGGACTTTCTCTGGTTGGAGTGCGTGCAGGTGGTCCCGGCTCCCCACCGGAAAACGTGGACCACTGGGTTTAGAGACAAGGCAGCGTCTAAAGTAGGCTTTGGAGAGAACTCCTGGCAGAAGCGCACGGGGCAGGTTAGAAAGCAGAAGGGACAGCCCGGACTGGTGTTGAGTGTCGGGAACCGACGGAGCGGGGTGCGTGGCTCGGGGCACGGAGAGTGAAGCAATTAGGCTTGTTTGGGTGGAGAGTTGCCTAGGGAAACAGAACACTTAAGAGCCACTTCTTTTCCCCTCTCCAGCCTCCTCTTGGGTGCTGAAGTCACAACCCCAGCGAGCCCTCTCTCCTCCCACGCTCCCTCTGTCTTTCAGCCTGCGGGAACCCAAAGCGCAGAGGGCCCAGAGGGCCCAGAGGATCGTGGAGAATGAAGAAATAGCCTTGGGACCCTTGGAAAATGAGGCCAACGCCCCTTCTGCAGCTGGCGCTGCTTCTCGCCCTGCCCAGGACCCTGGGGGGGAAAGGGTGTCCGTCTCCCCCCTGCGAGTGCCACCAGGAGGATGACTTCAGAGTCACCTGCAAGGATATCCACCGCATCCCCAGTCTCCCGCCCAGCACGCAGACTCTGTGAGTACCTGGGAGAGGAGAGGGTAGGATCAAGAGGCCAAGGGCAGCTGCAAAAGTGGACAGAAGTGCACAAAAAGAGCTTAAGAATAGACCAAAGGTGTGTGTGTATGTGTGTGTGTGTGTGTGCAAGGAGTAAAAACTCAATGGCCCAAATTTGGGATTGCTGACACACTAGTTACTCATAACACAGGAAAAGGTAACAAAACTTTGGTACAGGATGAAAATGAGAGTTGTCCTTTCTAAAGAGCTGCTGTTCCCCAATTTGCCTAGGCCTGGCTGACTCTGACTTTCACTTGAGATATTAACACTAATAGCAACTCAAGAATTGACCTCTAACACAGGGACCCTGTCTTTCAACCCTGAATTCCTTGTACCCAGCACAGGGCCTGGAACTAATTTAGTGCTCAAGCAAAAGCTTGTTGAATGAATAAATGAACAAATGAATATGCTAGTCTCAGATTGTCCTTTGTGTGATGGGGAGAATAAAAGGCCAGAGACATCATCACTTCTTCAGAGACTGCTTTAAAGGGGGCAGAATGGCTCTGACCATGGGTGGAAACTTAGAGTCATCCTGTTTATAGTTCCACCCAATGTTGAGGAGAAAGGATAATGTTGGAGGAAGAGCAATGGACTAGGAGTCAGGATGTAGTCTCTTCATCCCTCTCTCACCAACTGTGAAATTAGGTGAGATCATTTATTTGGGAAGACCCAAGATTATTTCTGGGTAAAAGAGGGGGTTCAATTAGGTGCATTCTGATGTCTTTGATGCAAGTGAGGGGATCCACTGAATCACAAAGAATAAGAAGTAGTGGGGAGACATTGAAAACAATGGGAGTGGGGGGCAGAGGAGGGACGGTGTTCTGCGAATGAAGTTATTCTGAGATACAGAAGAGAAATTGATGAAAAGCATGAGTAAAATGACATGCCAATTTAGACAATGGCCACAGCCATCTGCAACAGTAGCGAAGTGACTTTCAAATCTTTGGGGGGCAGTAGAACTCCTTTGACAAAGGAAAGCTTATGAGAGAAGTCAAGTCTGTAAAGCTAACAATTATATTGTGCTTATTATTCCTGTCCTCAGCACTTTGCACGAACTCACGCATTGACTCCTCACAAAATCCCACTGAGTAGGTAATTTTACTACTCTCATTTTATAGATGGAGAAACTGAAGCATGAAAAGTGAGGCAATTTGTTCAATGTCATGCAGTTTATAAGTTGTGGTGCCAAGATTTGAAATAGCACAGAGCTGCCTCTGAAACCCCCTGCTCTCGGATGAAAGCAGGTCTCACCCAGCTTTTCCCCAGTATGGTCATCAGAGAGAGAGAGAGAGAGGAAGAAAGAGAGAGAGGAGGGAGGGAGGAAGGAAGGAAGGAGAAAGGAGAGAAAAATGTGAGAACTCAGAAGAGTAGGAGGTTAGGGGGAGGAAAGAAAAAAGAACAAAAAGAAGGAGGGAAGGGGAAAAGAGGATGGGAGGGAAGGAGGGAGGAAAAGAAAGACTATATCTAGGTTATAGAGGGCATTTCCTGCTGAAACAAACCAGACCTTTGTCATTAAAAACCTGTTCTGGGTGGTAACCACTTTTCTGAAACCTGATGCTGTGTAAACACTGCCTAGCTGTTTTACAAATTATCATGGTGCTGAGAGTATTTTTTCCTAAGCCTTATCTTCTATCCATGTATTATGGTGCTGAAAGGTAAACAGATTGTCCCTTTCTGCATTACCCATACACTTGCCACGTGATCTGGTAGATGGATGGGAGAGAGTTACACTCGTCGGGGCTCTCACTGAAACAGGGGTTCTGAATCTTCTTCTCCACTTCCCCTCCCCTCCAAGGGGGCATGATTCACTCTTTTAACAGTGGTTCTGACTAGGTAGGAAGTAAGGGAGAACTGCTATTCCTACTTCCCAGGGGAACATTTAGAATCTTTGATATACAAGTAGTTTGAAAAAAAAAAAATGCTCCTCCTAATTGAGAATTACTGATTTAAGGGAAATTAAATTAAGCCAGCAGAATAAAACTAAAAATTTAAATGTTGGCATATAGTTATAGATCATATTACGTCAAAACCAAGGATAGCAAGATGGACCTATTACCCTCATTCAGAGATTTACCATTTGTTACCTGTGTGCACAAGAGTACCATCCCTTCTCTGAATGAGGAGGAGGATGGGGTTAGACAGTCATTCTGGATTTATGTGGATTCTTCCTCAAGAAAGTGCTGCCTTGACTTGTCTTGTCCTTTGACCTACCCGCTTTCAGGCTAATGATGGTGACATTCACTCCCTCCACCCCCTCCAACTCCCTCCAACTCCAGTGGAGTGATGGTTTGTCCATCACACACTTGTGTTCCTTCAGAAATGTTTCTGAAGGAGCTGTTGTGGCTCTTGTTGTTTTCAGGTTTTGGATTTTGCTTCCATTGTTTACATTTTGCATCTGTGGCTCTAATTGATGGATCAGCCCAGTTTTTTTTTTCCTAAACTGAAGACACTCACTCACCATCTTCAGGATTTTTCCCTGTGTTCCACCTGTGCTATTATTCACTCGTTATCTTTAAGTGACTCACTAACTGAAAAAAAATTATTTAGAAAGCTTCTATAGCGACGATAAATGGGAAATCAGCATGACTTGCTATAAAGAGGAGGTAATCCAGAAAGCTAAATACGTTGAAAACACAAATGTAATTATATTCTAGCTCAAGACTATTGCCTGTGAATGCTCTAAGCCTGAAGCTGACTTTTTTGTTGTTGTTGTTAAAAGGGAAGAGTGATAAGTGTTAGAGAAATATTAAAGAGACACCAATTCAACTTTCTGTCCTTGGTGGTATCAGAAGAATTGAAAAACCGTGGGAAAGGGAATCCCTTTTCCACTGTGATTCGATATTGTTTAATGCCATGTGAGCATTCCACCTAGACCAATCTCATGTCATACCCGCTTTCCTCGCTTAGAGAAATGTGGGTTTGTCCCCTATTTCACAACTGTTTTAGACACAATTGGTAGTCATAACGTGAATAACATTTGATTTCCAGCCTAAAGAGAAGCCCTCTGCTTTAGCACCCACATGCCTGTCAAATACAGCCCAATATTTTGCGTCTTACAAAGATGGCATCGCTTCATGCTTGTAGACTCCATGATTTATTCTCTTTTTATCCTCTGTGTGTGCAACTCAAGGTTTTTGATGGAAAGTAACAGAAAACCCACTGTGTCTAGCGTAAGGAGGGAATAAATGTTCTGAAACAATAACATGTAATTTACAGAATCATTGTAGATCCAGGCTTTCAAAAGAAGCCAGAGCCCAGGGCAGGCAGGGAGTTGCAGCAATAGCCAACCATCTGGTTGGAACAACTCCATACACAACACCATAACCACAGCCACTGGACATCTGTGGTGCTGGGCACCTCGTTCTGTAGCCGCTGGACTGTCTGTGCGCTGCCTTCAGTGATTTCTCAACTGTTCCTGCCACTTTGAATCACCAGCCAGGAAGTGATTTCCTAGATAGGAGCATCTGATTGTCTGCCATAGGTTACCTGCTGAGTCCTAGCTGCTGGGGGCCGGGGGGTGGGAGGCGGGAAGGTCCCTTTTCCCTGACTTTCCATGTCTGTAGTGGGAGGTGAAGAACTGGGTTCTTCTAAGAGTACACACACACAAGGGGGAATTTTCCACCAAAGAGGGGCTATATGCCCTCAAATTGCTCATCACTTCCTTTATTCTGCAAATATTTATTGAGCACTGGCTATGTTCCAGACACTGTGCTAACACTCTAGATTTGGTGGAGAACAACATCAACATCAACATGTCCCTGCCCTCAGGGATCTTGCAATCAGTATGGAAGCTGAATATTAATCAAATAATCATATAAACATATAATTTGAATTGTGTAAATATGCTGAGAGTATACTTGGTGGGGATAGGGTTGGGGACCGACTTAAACAGGGGAGGTTTTGAGCTACATCCTGAACTGGTAGGATTTGGGCATAAGGAGTTGCAGGTGTGGAGTGGAGGGTGAGAAAGTGGTGCTCCAGGGGATGGAACTGCTCATTTGAAGAGCTTTGAAGAATTCTCACCTGATCAGTGAAAGAGTTGGATTTCTTCACTTGGAACAAACAACAAAATATGTTGGGCAACAAAATATGTTACTACTTTCTTTGTAACACAATACAGGTCAAGGTGAATTCTTATGTCGGTAAGGGCAGCTTTTGTGCCAAAAAAAAAAAAAGAAGAAGAAGACTTATTGGGGGTAAATGGATTTAAAACCAAATATTTGATTCATTAAAGTAATGAATGTAAAGACTAGTTCTTTTTTCAGTTTTCCATATATTTATTATCTTATTTGTAAATTTAGTTAATGATAATAATTCAAGGAAGATTTTATAATGTAATAATATTTTAATAAACAATTTCATAAAATAATACATAGTTTAAGTACAAATTTAGTATATTTTATTTTAAAGCCCTTTAATTGCTTTCCAAGTACTTAGAAAATTCTAGAAAGTCTATTAAATTAGGCTTTATAAGTACCAGGAATCCTAAGTTTTTTAGCTATCTCAGTGCTATTTATAGGGGCAGGAGAGTAAAGTGGTGAAGTGTACTCTTTCTGGAGTGAGATCATCTTGGTTGAATGCCTTGCTCTACCATTTCCTAGGCATGCTTTTGGGAATGTAGAGAAGAGGAAAATATTTTTCCTTCTATTCTTCTAAATTTTTAGCGAGGACCCCTCATAACAACAACAACAAAAAAGATTAACAAGAGAAAAGCATACAAATGTATTTAATATCAGTTTTGTGTGACATGGAATGAGGACCCAAAGGTCCTTATAAGGAAATGAAGACCCAAGGAAGTGATTAAACCTGAGTGTTTCTACATCAGGTTTGATAAAGAGTGGGAAGTCATGGAATAATGTGATAGGGCAAAAAGAGGGGATGAGCTAAGTGTAGAAAACTAGGGCACACAGCAAGTTCTGTCCCTTCAGATTCCTCTTGTTTTCCTTTTGTCTTTGAGATAA